GAGTCAGCGTCTTAACCACTTGAGCGACTGCATCCCTACCTTTGAAGTCTGTAACCTCCTCTGGAATCCAAATACAAAGAAGGCCTTTTCTTACTTTTTTTTCCAGTCTGTTTCTCTGACACTGCTATTAAAATGGACTAGCACTGTTTCTGTCCAGAGCTTGGGAAAGTTACTTTTGTGAAGTACACATCCCCCGAAGGTAGGAGGCCATGGTGGCTGGGGGAACTGTTGATGTTGTTCTCCACAAAAGTAACTTTTTCAAGCTTCACTTCCAGTTCCTTATCCTCCATTGTATAAGCCTGACTTAATGTGTTATTTCCAGAAAGACTGAAAGGGGTTGCAGACTGCCTGAAATAGTACAAATTGAGTCCACTTTTAGGGTTAGGGTTAGTGCTAGGGAATCATGGGAAATGTATTTTATTGTGGTACCAGAGCTCTCTGACAGAGAAGGCTCAATGTCTCAGAAAAAAAATCCCATGATTCCCTAGCACTAACCCTAACCTTAAAAGTGGACTCAATTTGCACTATTTCTGGCAGTCTGCAACCCCCGTGAATCTGCTTTGCCTAGTAGCCCAGACATAAAAGGAGAAACAATCTTTGGAACATCTGTTGTGAGGTCAATGGGCATTTTCTTTTCCAGAATAATTTCTGTCAAGATGCATAGACCATCAGGGGATGTGGCACCCATTATACTCAACAGAAGCCAAAAAGCATGGAGAAGATGTTTCAAAACATGTATAGTCTGCTATAACACTTTTTAAAGCTGGCAGCATGAGGAATGGAGCCTTCAAAGAAATGCAAAGGAGGATCCCTATGAATCAAGGAGAACAAAAGGAACTGAAGTTTCACAGTGAAACAGAGTTTCACAGAAATGCCTGAGTTTCACAAAGGAGGCAATGATATGGGTGAGACATATATTCAGGATGTATTTATTTTAAAACAAATTTCCCCTCACACACACACACCCACACCCACACACACACCTCTCTACTCAAACTAATGTTGAAAACATCACACAGCAAAGCTGGGTAGGCTTAACACTAGTGGCTAAGGTAAAGGCCCAGCTCAGTCTACATGAAAGTTGTTATCTCACGTTAAAAAAAAAAAAATCTTGGCCTATATCACCTTAATTAGATTCTAGATGTAGAATCATATGACTGGCTGTTCTCCTACATGTTGTTTGTTGTGTGCCTTCAAGTCATTACAAACTTATGGCAACCCCAAGCAAACCTATCATGGGATATTCTTGGGCTGAGAGTGTATGACTCATCCAGGGTTACCCAGTGGGTTTCCATGCCCAAGCAGAGATTCAAACTCAGGTTTCCAGAGTTGTAGTCCAATGTTCAAACCACTATGCCACACTGTCTCTCTCCTATACATATACCTTTTTAAAAATAAAAATAAAAATAGAAAATGTGTTTCAGTGTGCATCAATGGAGATCAGCTCACACTTTTTAAAGCATCTTATCTTCAATGGAATAAAGGTGCATTTAAATTTACAAAGGGTTTTGTTGCATTCACTGTGGCCAGGCAAATGCATCCCATATACAGCCCAGATGCCAGCTGGGCTTATTCTGTGGTGATAAAACCTGTTAGTAAATTTAAACGTGCCTCTATCCCATTGGGGATAACGTGCTTTAAAAAGAGTGCACTGATCTCCTGACTTTCTACTCACACAAACAAACCTATATAGACACACACAACACACAAATAGAAAGTATTAAGTCCTTTTTTAAAAAATCATTTTTTATTCAACTGATAGATACAAAATTTATACAAGCAATATTTCAGAAAGGTGTTTCAAAGCTTGAATAAAATAAATAAATGAGGTAGTTTCCATTGCCCCCCACATGCAGAGGTTGACACTCTGAAAAAAGAGAGCTTCAAACAACAACATTACATTCTCTGCTCAGAAGTAGGATTTCCAGATCTCAGGCCCAGGATTCTGTTCTCCAGTTCTCTAAGGCAAGGGAGCGGAATCTCAGGGTGAGAGTGCTATCTTGAAAAATATGCATGAGCACAAAGAAATGTCGAAATTAGTTAGGACTACCCTGTCCCTGGCCTAACTTTGTGCCAGCATAGTGGATGTGGCCCTGGGCTGGTTAAGGTATGGGCATGCATATCTTGGATCCTCCCTTGCACCACTCCCTTTTCAGCTTTTCTGCCAATTGATCTCAGCTGGCTATGCTGTTATGCCAATAGTTTTCTTTGTCAGCTAATCTCTGGAATCAGGCAGCAAAAGGAGCCATGATAGCAAAAGGGCCATTCAGCCAGGACAAGAGCCATCTGCCTATTCCTAACGCCCTGCAATTTGTACACCTGGGAATTAGGATTGCACTGCAAGTCTGTAGGCAGGGATTGTCTTTTCCTTTGAGGGGTATTGTAAAGTAATAATTATCACCTGGAAGTTATCATGGTATATTGATGAAATTTTATCAGTGTCATCATTAGTCCCTAAGTGCATGATGTTGAGAAAATCAGCTCATTGTGTCCTTTATTTTTGTAACAGATTGTGCCAGAAGTGACTAAAGTGTAAAATCCTCATAAGGCACAATTTGCAGACTTCTACAATAATGGTATTTGGAGGATCAAGAAAAGCTGGGGAAAATGTGTAAATCTGGATGTTGACTATGTAGAGATAAGTTAACAAGTACAAATCAAAACAAACTTTCTGTTAAAAAAATTTAAAGGTGATAATTAAAACGTTATGATATCTGCTCGTGTGTGTGTGTGTATAGTAGCTGTTTTGAATGTATTTTGGGGTGCTGAATTTGAAAAACACAATTAAAATGTCATAACACATACAATTCTTTCACAAATTTGATATTTTTATCAATTCAGTTGATAGTCTTGATTAAGTATGGGAGCTGATATTCCAATGTAATTTCTTTTAGTGCCTTTGAACAGATTTTTGTGTTTTATATCAGCAGATTAAAGTATTTTGAAAGTCTTTGGGAAAAAAAGACTTTAACCACTTTCTTACTTTTTTCAGGATAATTCTTTGCAGGATTATTTCATTCAGTCACATATTACAACATAGTGAGTTGTGAAAAAAACTATGTGATGGAGCAAAACTGAGGTCATTTTTGGATTTACAATGCCAAATTCCTACAGTGTATTTTTTTTACAAAAAAAATGACCCTCAATTTTACAGGCTTGTGTAATTTTCAGTCAAGCAATATTTACTATTTTGTTAGACTTAAATGCTTATTACAGTGGGCCCTTGGTATCCACTGGGCTTTGGTTTCAGGATATTCCATGGATACAAAAATCCATGGATGCTCAAGTCCCATTAGATACAATGGATAGTAAAATGGTGACCATTATATAAAATGGCAAAATCAAAGTCTGCTTTTTGGAATTTATATATTTTTTAATATTTTCAAGCCATAGATGCTTGAATCTGTGGATAAAAAAAATCTGTGGATATGCAGGGCTGGCTGTACTTGAATTATATGGTCTGAGGAACTGTGGTCAATGCTTAAAGTGTCATATGTCTCCTGACCTGACACTCCCCCACCTCTCCCTTCTCTCCTTCTTTTGTCCAAGTTGAATCTCTCATTTTTCTCTCTGATTGGAATTCACATCCCACCACATCCCAAGCCTCTATACCATGTGGTTCTGGGGTGGACATGTGTGAAGCACATTTAGGAAGAGGGGCTGGATCTGGGAATATCCCCAGATCTAAACTAATGCTTACTTTAGTTTCCAACCATGAAAATATTAGCTCTGTGTCTGTGTGTGTCTTTGAATGACATGCTATGAACAACTGTGACTGATCTTGATCTGTAATACTTAATGGCACCATGAAGATCTGATTCCTATACCTTCAGGATGATCCACCTGCCCCTGTGACATCACCATAGGGCAGAGGTAGGCAACCTTTCCCCTTTAAGGGCTGAGGGATTTCAGCTCCCAGAAGCCTCAGCCATGTTGGCCAATAGTCCCATGTTGGCCAATAGCTCCTGGGATTCTGGGAGCTGAAGTCCCTCAGCCCTTAAAGAGGAAAGGTTGCCTACTCCTGCCATAGGGGCTATTTCTAGGTGTCAGTGCTGGGAGGACAATCCTGACCCACCCTCCCTGTGTCTAACATATCAGAAGAGAACACTACTTCTTTTTTAAAAGCCATGTGGGAGAAGGGTGGTAAAGATAAGTGATCCAAATTCACATTGCAGGTCCAAATGAGAATTGCCCTTGTAGGGTCAGAAAAGGAGAAAAAACACACAATACTTCTCCCTGCTGCAGAAAGAAAGAAGTTAGCAGTTGTTTGGCAGAAGGATGAAAGATGCCGTTTCTCCCATCTCAGCTGCAATTTGGGTTTCCTTATTGTCCATAACAGCACATTGTTCACGTTTCCTGAAAAATGAGAATAGCATCATGTCTGCCCTGTGCCCTGTTTGAGGTTTTTTACCGGTATTTGAGGGTGAAAAGCCACTTCCTAGCGCTGGTGGTAAAAATGAGACATAAGGAACAAGAAAAAGTGAAGTAAAAAGAAGGAACTAACCACAGGTAAAGCCAACTGCACTTGGTCTTTCAGTAGCTACCTTCCCATGTCGTCTTTTTCAGGAAAAGACAAGCTGCAGCAACATTCAGTTGCCATGGAGGCCAGAACTACAAACAAACAAAAAAGCCATTTAAGAGTCAAACTCACACTACTTTTAATAAAACACATTCTGAAACAAATAGAATTGTTGTGGTCCAAATAAGACATACTAGAAAACAGGGAATAGAAAAGGAAGAAAAATAAGAAATTGTATTATTTTGAGAATATAAGAAGAAATGTGCTAGATCAGACCAAAACACTATGTTGTCTATCATTCCATTTCCACAGTCACCTTTCAGACATCCATGTGGGATGAGTGCAGGAACACCCTCCCACTGATGATCACCTGCAACTAATGTTCCAGAAACATACTGGTATGGGAGGAAATATATTTATTACTTAAAGTTTTAAAACACACTCCAATGAAAAAGGCTCCCAGAGCAACTGACAGGAATTACTACATAGACAGTCCTGGCCTTAGGGTAAATCTAGAAGACACATGAGATCAGACTGGGATGGAGGAAAAGGTAAAGGTAAAGGTATTCCCCATTGACAAGGTTGTCAAGTCATGTCCAACCTTAGGGGGCAGTGCTCATCTCTGTTACTAAGCGAAAGAGACAGCATTGTCAGAGACTACTTTGTGATCATGTGGCCAGCATGATTGCACAGAACGCTGTTTACCTTCCCACTGAAGTAGTACCTATTTATCTACTTGCATTTGCATGCTTTCGAACTGCTAGGATGGCAGAAGCTGGGACTCGTGACAGGAGCTCACCCCATCATGCAGCACCTGGGCCTCGAACTGCCAACCTGCTGATCTTGCAATCAACAGAATCAGTGTCTGAACCACTTGAGCCACTACATCCCAGGGATGCAGGATGTTGTGGTTAAATGTATGGTCTTCTCTGCCTTATGTGGGGGCTGGTCCTGAATTTATTCTTAAAGTATTTCCTACTTTGTTGTTGATTCAGTATCATGCCATGCCTTGTGCTCATGTCTTGTCAAGCCAATTCATTTGACCAGAAGAATGGAAGCCTATTGCTGTTTTTGTTGTTGTGTGCCTTCAATTTGTTTCGAACCCTATGGTGACTCTGAGGTGAACCTATCACAGGACAAGATTTGTTCAGAGGGAGTTTGCCTTTGCCTTCCTTTGAGCCTGAGTGTAATTTGCCCATGGTCACCCAGTGGGTTTCCATGGCCGAGTAGGGATTTGAATCCTGGCCACCAGAGACATAATCCAACACTGAAAGCACTACACCATGCTGGGTCCTTGAGTTCTAAACTGAGGAAAATTGGGAAATAGCAAAAGCAAAAACAACAGGGGGGATGAATTAGTTGTATCCAGGTTTGCACTCTATCTTCCTCATGGGGACACTGAAATACTCTTTGACAACCCACTCCCTTTATCTTTATGCTTTTATCTCTTTTTCCTATTCATTCTGTGCCTTCCTACTGAATTCTTCTCCCATCTCCTGATGACAAGAGAAGGGTTTCCTCAGCCACAAGTCTGGTAGAACTTGGTGGGAGGGAGATAGGGGCCTTCTCTGAGATCTGAATAATGCCAGCTCTCCAAGTTATATTTGCTTTTCCTCCAATTCTCTCAAAGTAATATATCTCCATCACTACTAATGACAGCCTTATCTTCTATGAATTTTGTTTTAATTCCATCCAAATTGGCAACCATTGCAGTATCTTGTGGCAACAAATTCCACAGTATAACTATGTGCTTTGTTGAAAATGTCCTTCCTTTGAACTGTCCTGAACTTCATATCGAGGGTGAACTTTTGCTCATATTTAGAGTGAAAAGCCACTTCCTAGGTTGG